AAAAAACTCATCAAAATCTCAATACACAAAAGATAAGCCTCTATTTAAAATCTTTACGTCCGTGGATTCACAGAATACGTCACAAAATCCTCTTTAAACAAAGCTTCCTTTTCAAATTCCTGTATTTTAGAGTTATCTGAGAATCGTCTGGAGTGTAGGATGTATCTATTTAGTGTTTGGAGTCGGGCTTGTTTATATTAATATCACCCCTCACCCTAGATTCTTCTCAGGTATTTATCACATAATCTTTGCTATCAACGCCAACAACTCCTTTCAAAAAGTTGACTCATATAATCTGAGATAGTAATCCATTTTCTAATTTTTGGCATTTGATTTCAACATATTCTTTATTTAAGCTTATTTACATGAGATTTGAGAATGTTGTTATCTGTGAAAATGTGAGGACGACACGAGCTTTACACAGGCGGCCACCCAAACTATACCAAATTCAATTCAATACTAAGAGATGAGCAAATAGGTAAAAAATGCAACTGGGATTCAAATGTTGTATCGATATAGCCAGATAATCTGGGTATATTGTGCTAGATGTTTACATGCTAAATGGTGCTACCGAGATAGTTCAAGAGAAGTGTATATACATCACAAGTGGCCTCGTACATACAGCTTTAGATGTGTCCATGACGACCTCGTTTATCAGCTTCTTACCGCAATATTGTATCTTATTTGACATTTGTTTAGATGGACTATGGTTACCAGGCAACACTGGCTATTTCTTGACGTGTGTTTTGATGTTCTTGCACTATATAAAGCAGCCATCAGTGGTCTACCCCAAACATTTCACCCTTTACCTCTGTTTGTTGTGATACATCATGTAATTACGCTGATATCAGATAACAAAACTGACAAAAAGACAAGAAGATACGAATGTTTCCAGTAAGAGATGTTTCTTTGTCTTCTGGAATCTTTTTTTGATATTCGATCCAGTGTGAGTCTATTTCTCATGTGCCAGTTGCAAATTCTTGCAGAAGATTATGTGCGCCAGATATAATATCAAGCAGCACACTCCGGTATAGGTGGGCTTACATGTCTATGGCGAACCAGACCTTTTATAACACCATCCAGCCCAAGTGTGAAAAAATAAAATGATATCTCAAAGAAAAACCTCCGGATTTCTATTTATGAAAATCGTTCACGGTGTGAGATATGGAGTGTGTTAAAATTCTAGACACTTCGAAGTATTTTAATCATTAGAAATAAAGTTATATGCGTTTTGTGGATATTTGTGGATATTTGTTTTTGTGATGTCTCCTGGTTTACCATCGGCTGATGATTTATAATGATTTAGGCGCAAGATCAGAGATCTGAAGTCCTGGGAAAATTCCCAAGAATGTCAGTGATGTCACCCCATTACTCATCATTACTTAGACTTATAAAACACAAATAAAGTTAACACTTCCATACGAACCAATAATGTCTTTATTACCATGCCTATCAGACAAAACAAAATTATTATTTCAAAATGAAATTAAGAATATGTTTTCTAGTACTCATCTATGCAAATATAGTGACTTGAATACATAACATAAAAATAAGAGAGCCATACTTATTTAAAGGAAGACACAATATACAGGTACACCTGATTTCATTGATGAGTTTGGCTTATGTTGCCCAGTCAGGACCTATGGTTAAAACACATACACAACTATAGATTAGGTTTCGTCAGTCTTGGTGGGAAAATTCTTGCAATTTCTTTCTCATTTTCCTTCAGTCTGTCTTGGCTTGTCTAAATAAATTCTCAGCAAAAAGAAAACGTTTTAGGCAATGAAGTATGCCTTTGGAAGTTTAGACAAGTACTAAAATGTTATCTTGTTATTTCATTGAAGTGGTGCACTGGTGATACCAGATACGAGACAAAGTGAAAACTGTAGCATCTCTTGTGATCTTTCTGCAACAAAATCCACGAGGAAAACATGAAGAAATATGAGTAATACACAACATTCTTAGGGAGAACATAGGGAGCTTTAGAAACATGGTTTCAAACTGACCAAATCACTTAACACACCACAGGTTGATCTGTAAACGATACAATACATTAATACTGTCCAAGCATGACCTGTATTATGGTATCATGTAACTACCATCTGGATTTGACATTATCTTAGCATCACACCAGAGTTTTGTCATTTGACCAGATTTTCAATGACCCAACACATATAAAGCAAATCCTGTGGTACTTATAGCCTCTAATGTTCATGCCCATGAGATGGGGGATAATGTATTACTGTCAAGTCAGACACAAAGCAATAAATTACTTTCACAGAAAATATTACCTAAATGTGCTGAACATCTTGTGATTCCGTTTATAAGGATGAGTATTTCTCCTTTGAAGCAACTGGCTGTGTTTTAGTTAGAAGTTTATGTAAACGGGAATGCTTATTTATATTTATTTGTGTTAGAAGTACATCTTAAGCAAGACATCATTCTTGTTTGGCTGTTCCGCCTAGTCTATGATGATAGATATATGCTGTGTTGGAGGTCAATAAAACCATCCCTGAACTGTATATTCTTTATCATATAGCACTTGTAGAAGTTCTGTACTTCAAACATCTCCTCCAAATATCTGTCCTGAGATCAATGGATCGTAACCCTGTTATGAACAAAATTGAGTTTCATGGCTTGATTTCGTTGATAGAAATTCGGCAGACCTTCAATGGATATCATTTCAACTCAATAAAAAAAACAAAGATCAAAATTATCAGTTTTTTTCTATGTCAGTCTGGTTCATTTGAATGATAAGAGACTACGCTACACAATATGGAATCTTCAAATGTATATTTATAGCACACTATCACTTATTTGTGCTTTTTTACCGTTCCTGTTGTGCGTTTCCATTTTATTCAATCTCTATATTATTCGTAACTTTTAACATAACTTTATTAAACTCCACAAATTCACTGCATGTGTGTTTATAAGACATCTTGCACCAAACTTCAGAAATTTTGATAGCGTCGGTTCATCTTTAATTGAATTTGACGCTGATGTTTTCCCGATTGACCTTGACAAATTGGTTGGACAGGCTTGCAGTCAAATCTGATACTTGCCCTGATATATTAACCTCGTAGAATCCTTGAAATAGATTGAGATCGGAAACATTATTGACAGAGATTTTGCATCCTCACACCATACCACTAATTCTACATTTAGCAGTTTAATCAATTTTGACCACTGAACCTCCAGAACCCCTCAGACTGCACCATCAAGATCAATGTATAGACAGATGACACAATGCTAAATATTTGGTGAAGAACATAAAGAATCGTGGATTGTGACCTCCTCCAGTTATATCGTAGAGGTGCTGAACTATCACCCGATCACTTTAGCAAGAATTTCCCCGGTAACCTTGGATAAGTAAATATCCTTTGAAAGGTATACCAAATTGCAGCTTTGAAAGTCAATTTAAAATGTCTTCGTGACATAACATGATGTTGGAGCTTTACTATACACGATGAGCAGCTGCGTTGCTCTCACTGGTTACGCCATTTGGACATTTTTGCTAAATCTGTTTGTAAGATACATCAATTACTGTTGGAACAGATACAGACAGTAACTATGTTCCAATAGACAACATACGTTATAGATGCTCTTAGTTTTAACATGACTGATTCTGTTGTTGTGTATCTTATACTGGAACAACGTATTTTCCAAGAATTGAGACAAAGTTACGAAAAATGCTACACACTGGAGAATATCTCATCAAAGTCTTAACATACGTAACACAACAATCAACAAATCAAAAGTATGGTTATCATTCCAAGATAGATAGACTTACATTCTGGTATCTGTTCAAATTACAAATTATCGATAGGAAATCTGTATGTCAAGTTTGAACATTCATTCACAATTGACATAGGAATGTTTTACTATCATCGTGAGAACTAGTGCACAAAATGGAAGTAAATCAAATCTGTGACTTATAGCGAGAACATGTAAAAGTGCCACTGTTTGCCTGTGGCATCTGACAACAAATTATTTTAACCTTTTATCTCGATTTCCTTATCGATCAATCCCCTTTATTTTGGTAAATTGAGTTGTTTATGGTGTAAACACACTGCGGGGAGAGAGGGTCCAATCTGACTTACTTTTATTTTGTCTTCTTCTTTGGGAAGATATTCACTCTTGGGTAAACTGATTAGACATGGTCCACCATAGAGGCTAATATTTAGAGAATTTGGTCATTCGACGGGACGAGCTGTTTATCTATTTTAACTGGACACACACAGAGAAATAAGCAAATGCTGACTGTTGTATCTCGATAGTATGTTTCGTCAATATATCATGCTTTCACGAGCATATAGCTGATACCCAGCGGTCAACGAGTACCTGAGATAGTTAGGAGTGAAAAATGGGACATCAGTTTTCTCTGTATCCTTATCCTTTATGAGCACTCCTGTTGAGTGGAGTTCCTTTTCCCAACTAGGACATCGAGATTAGTTTCCATATGCATCATAGTGCGTTCCCCAGTCACTGATGAGTTATCCCCATTTATTATACGTTGTGGAACCAATTTCCAGTAATTTATATGTGTTAGTTAGCAGGTTGAAACTGTGTTCCAACCAGGTTTAAATGATATTAGCGTCGACTTACAAATGTGAAACTAAACTAGACAGTTTCACGACGAAACCAATGTAAGATTTAGTACCCGGGTTATATGACTTGGCCTTTGTTTATCTGAACTGAGGAATAATGAAGAAAATATTGACATAACTGTTATAACTGTAGAACACTAATTTGTTATTTTTTATAAAACGTCGACTGATGAAATACTCTGATACCGCCTAATGGTTACACATAGATTCACGTTTATCGCGTACATTTAATACCAAATGCCATTTTACAGATCTTTGATTCAATTTCCCCATCAGGCGCACTTTTAATGCTAAATGCTAATGTTAATTTACTTAAACGGATTAACACTTCTGAAGCAACATTTTCAGATCATAAACATTCTAGTCTAAGTGGAAAAATAAAAAATAACTTACCAAACTTTGTATGGTGTATTCACTGTTTCAGTGTGTCGAACTTGTATTTCTGCAAATAGTAAAAATATCATCATTACGTCTGTTTCCAATTTATATGTTCATACAACTATAATTTCTAACTAAAAATGATGTAGGTCTGATTCCAGGAACGAAACGCTTAAATTTACACAATTAATTTAGATCGTGGAATGCTAGGTACCCAAAAGAAGATAGACCAGATCCATTGGTAGCAATTAAATATTAGGGTAGGTTATGCCAACTTCCAAGAATCAAGAGCCTCTTGATATGTGCCTACTCCGACCTACTCACAATATAATATGTAATTATTTACTGGCTTGGATATTGCTCAATCCTCAAACACAGTCTATCAAGTACACATTCTTGAAGATATTTCTTAAAAATTGCCTCCGTTTCCAAATGTCATTAACTAAGAGGTGATATCCTATTGTTGAGCCTATCGGAATTTGTTTGTTGGTAAACGGTTGGTATTTGTGTATGTAATTTATCAATTCACCTAGAAATTGCTGAGGTTTATAGCTTTAGATAAATCCCGGCACATCAGCTCGTAAAATCCCATTGTGTACTTGCGAAATCTTTTACAATCTTTTGTTCCAGCCCTCTGGCGATTTCATCTAGTTTATGTTCAACTGTTACATGTTATTTACATGTTCGCTTTTGTTCTTCAGAAGTCACATAGTCCATTTGAATTTATGAATTTTGAGTCCATTTATTGGGTTCTATCTGGGTGTGGAGATAATAAAGCTATAGTGTGACCAATACTGTCCATGATGCTCTGATAAGTGTTCCTCTGTCTAAACTATGTCTGGTTTACTTAGATATCTCTTCCCACGTTACAGTAAACCACAGTTGAAGTAAAAATCGCCATGATGTAGACATCCCATCTGGGTAAACTGATGCGATATCAATCGGTTTCAGCAACTCGCCCGGTCGGCTTTGGCTTTCGCTGTTGTTCCACTGAAAACATGACATTATCACATAAACTGCACAAACACCCCTAAATACATGCCTAAAAACCTCACTTAACATTTTTCACTCAACACCTTTCTTAAAATAATGTTCCCTCCATTCAAAGAGCATTGTGGCTCTTCCATTTCTTCTGTATCGACAGTTTTAAAGGTGTTCCTTGTATTTTGATGATACTGGAAAGAAAAAAGTAAGGAGACCTACATCATATGAAAATACACCTGTCTGGGAGAAGCACTTGAAATTTTTTATACTTTTACAGGAAGGTAGGAGTTCCCCTTTAAAATTCCCCCTTTGACTTTTCATGGAATTACATCATTCAAAGACTGACATAAGTCTCTCACGCCTCCCCCATATATGCACCTGTATGGAGTAACGCTTACGTGCGTGATTTCTAGTCGGGTTTCTCTCTAGATATCTCGCCAGGAAAGCGTGATAAGTACGACATGTTATGACTTGGAAGGGTTATACCTCTTGTGGCTACTTGAACTGACTAGATGTTGGAGGTTCAACATACACAACGGAAGGTATAGATTGCAGACTTTGCAGTGTTGCTAAAAAACATTCCAGATTAAAGTACTAGTACATGTATAAACGTATGTATGTACAACATTGTCTTTAACTTATGTTCTCATAACGATATTAATCATACTAATACAAATACTCAAAGAACAGACATTCGCATTCGAGAAATACGTAAGCGTAATGTCTGTCTTGAAATAATGCACTCATTCTGTTGACCTTAGAACGCACACGCTCTTCCTATCACTTTAGCGTGTACAATATCTACAGAAAGTCTTGATGAAATTTGATGAATTTGATTTTCTTGCACCTTTCTTGATACAGATAATCAAGAAGTCACAGTGTTCATCAGTCTACATAAAGCAAGAACGAAAACAGCAAACATGTGGCATCAAGCGTATACTTGTAACCCAACAGAGTTGCATTACCTCGCCTTAATAATAACAACTTTTAAATAAGATACTGAATTTAGATTTACAAAAACTAAAGTATAAACTAACTTCTCTTAGCCCCAGGGTCTATCCAGGTGTACTAGTGAACATAGGAAGGCTAATTACCTTATTACTGCAAAATAAAACATAATTTGAAGAAGTAACGCAAAGGGGATGATTTTTGTATCAGTTGCACCCAATGGCAGATTAGTCAATGAGACTCATATCTTTGCGCATCCAAAATATATTAATCCATCGAGTGAAGCTTAGTACGTAATAATTCAGCGATCGTCTGAGATATTTAGATACTTACTTCCCTCCGCAAAAGTGTGAAGTATTTCCTGTTTTCCAGGTAAATGAAATTTCAACAGGTAGGACGATAATCCCCCGTAACCACAAAACTTAATCCACGTATATACGATTATATCTGTGTATCCCGGTAGTACAGTGTCGATAATCCGGTGCAGTTGCATTAATAATCCTCCTGATTTAAAAGTAATACATACTGGCGAGATCAACTCAGATTCCGAGCATCTTATATCACAGTATGTATCGTAAGTGAGATTTCCCTGGGACTGAAACTTAGTTCAAATGTGTAAACTTTCTTACTCCTCACCTTATGGCGATCACCTTTACGGAGTAGGCTGAAAATGATTAGCTATAGCGAGTTCTGTTTTGGGTTATGTGTTTGAGGTAACGTTTAGACCCTGTACTGATAAACGACTAGCTGTAAAGCAGTCGAAGACTTGAGTTTGGTAAAGATAAATAAAGAGGATGCATTCGGGATACAGATGGATGATAAATAAATAAAACTTATCAGACGCGCTTTTGGTCCGTGCGCATCTGTGTATCAATTTCAAACTAATATTTGATGGCCTTTGATAACACAAATGAATTATCATATTTTTGGCTTTAAAATACGCCTTAGTTTCGTTGGTTTGCTCTACAGTTTCAAGTGTAGTCTCTTCAGAATTATAAATTGAATTCCATTCTTGCTGCATCACTAAGACCTGTGAGTGCAGTGACCGAGACTCCAGACGATTTCGAAGCAGTTCCGTTCTTTGGTACATTACGTTATCTTAAAGTTATATAGCAGCACCAACGTTTCTGTACGATGGCAAATGTTTAACTGATTTTTTTCAGTCACCTCCTTTAATTATGAAAGGTAAAGGGGCAATATTTTGAAAACTCTAATCAGTAGTCTCAAAATTGACCATGAAAGCGTCATTTTATTTGTTCATGTCCTTATACTGATGATCCTTCTTTATTCATTAGTATATTGTTTATAGGCGTTTATGTTATTTTTAAATTAAATATTGGGCTTTAGACTGAGTATAACATGCTCTCCCAGACATCGATGATTTGGATAAGGCTTACACCGTTGTTACAGGTGCCGAAGTGTTAACATTGTATTCCCAATGCGGAATGTTCAGTCATGCATGTCGGTTATAACACTGGGGATATCCTGTCTACTGGATTGTATTTCAAGATCAACACAATATTCTCTGGTGGCATTTTCTCACGATTATTTTCAATTAGAAAATAAGTTATCTTTATGTCTTGTCAATTTGGTAAACATTTAAAATATGAAAGGTTGATTTATCATATCGGTTTACATATTGGAAGATATAAAGAATAGTTTATTCATTGTAGTCCAACTGGTCTGAGAATCATAAAATGTAACCCTATGATTAGAGATCGAGTCTGTCTGTAATAAATGGCAGCATATCAATATAGGACATGGTTAACAAATTAAGATTGCGACAAGAACATATGTTTCGCATTTCAACTATAGGGCACCAAGGGTCAGATTTTCAAAATCGTGGGAACGGTCTAAACGTGTAGTTAGAGTTAATGAAATTTGTTTTTAATATTACGTAATACAAGAAGTTCAGAGTGATCTTAAAATATTAAATCTCAGTGGCTCCCGGGAATTTGTTAAAGGGTTCAGTAGCATTTAGCATCATAGCCTCTAAGTGCTTTCATGCTTATATATCAATTATGAAGCTGTCCATTTAATTATCACAACATCTCTCTGGATTAAATCAATTAAGAGCCTGCCTACTGGTCGTGTTGTTACTCATTAAGATTACCAAGGAAATCAGTGCTATGGTACTTCATTCTAGACTTTATACTATGAACAAAACTTGGCTGGTGCGCCAAATTATATTTAGACTCTTAATAGTTATGCAACACACTTCGCCATCTATTTACTTCGCAATGAAACTACGTTCAGCGTTTATCAAATTCAAACAAGGGGTTATTTAATACCCGGGGCTTGGTTGTGTATTCAAACACAGTCAACGACATGACTGTCTTAATAAATTCCCGGGAATTTTTCTCTCCAGTATGGATCATATGAATTTGGTTTGGGCGTGTCATTGGAAGAAACCGGAAGTTAGGAATCAGTGAAGGATGGCTGCAATATAGAAACTCAAAATCAGTTTGTTCGTTGCATACCTGTTCCAGGTGATTGATTATTAATTATCATAATCGGTATAATTACATTCTATCTGTTTGTTCTGTCAACCATATTAGCATTAAAACTTGGACTTTGGTATAAATTCAGAACTCAAAATGTTCAAGGTCGCCAAAAAGTTCATATTTTTAGTTCAGTTCTCTGCATTTTTTCACTGGAATAGCAACTTTCAGTATTTCTTGTTTAATGCTGCACTTTACAACAGTGTTTCTTTATGTTCACTCTATACTCTCCCAGTGAATATCATAACATATGTATTTTTCTTTTAGCAACCATCTTACAGTGTACAAGGGATGAACTTACAAGGCCCCATATTGCCCATAATCCAGCACAGGGATATAAACTGGCAGTAGATTTCAAAGTCGCATACTTCCAGTCCCAGACTTCCTTCGATAATCTAGGCCTAGTCACAAATGAAGTCGAGTATTGACCAAGCTATTGGTCCAGTACCAGGAGGCCCAAAAGGTGTGCCCACGCCAGGTCTCCATTTTGGTTCTCTATACTTAGGAATTCAAACCAATGAGACAACATGAAGTTTTCATTTCACTATGGAACATGGCAAGTAATAAAAAAGTATAATACATGTAATTTTTGAAAATTTAAGAATGTTGATTTATAGATGTGACTTTCTAG